CTCTTCCTTCCTTTGCATTACCTTTTGTCTTGTTTTGTTTAACATATTACCATCTTTTGGGGAGGAGTATCCTGTTCTTAGGTCTCCCCGGCTTCACTTACTATGAAGGCCACGGAGCTGTTGCCTGGGCTCTATAATGGTTTAGGTATGGATGTGTAGGCGCTATTGCAAAATTACTCTTATACGCAGAAAATGGTATCCCCGTTAGCTGGCAGCACAGCTCAGCATTCAGGGCCCCCAAAATCCCATTCCTTGTTTCACTTCCTGACTGAACATTCTTTATTTCTGTATTTGTAAAGAAACTAAGCGAGGGGCAGCCACTGGCACAGGCTCCTGCGTTGGCTTCCTGGGAACAAGCACCCTGCGTGCTCGCCCTCCAAGTACAGGTCACCCTTCCGACTGTCGCCTTTATCGGCATGTTTCTTGAATTGCCCTTTGTAATAATAAAAAGAACAAAATAACAATTTAAAAATAAAAATAGAAGCTAATACTTGTCTGACGAATAAAAGAGGAACAAAGCCAGAGAGGTGTAAACATCGAGTGAAATGTCAAATTTAAAGGAAAAACCACACACGCAGAGTCAGGCACGATTGGTGAAAAGGAGATAAAGTCAAAACGAGACAGAGAGTAATTCATAGCCAAGAGTCCACTGAACTTTAATTTAAAAAAAGTCGATAAAATATTGAAAGAAGTGAAGACAAGGTAAAAAGGGCAAATAAGAGACCAGGAAATCTAAAGCTTGAAAGTCTCTCAAAGAAAAGATGAGAGGGAGTAAAAGTAAGGCTAAAAGAAAAATAAACCACAGACAGAAATGATCAGCTAAAAAAAAATGAGAGAAAAAGTCAAAAACAATCGTAAGTAAAACAATGAACTAAAAATAAGTAATGGAGAAGGGATGAACACAAAAAATTAATAAAGAAAAATATTCAAGTTCAGGCAATTTAAGAGACTAGTGAACCTCAAGAAGAAAAATCACGAGAGTTGAAAAAGTGAAGCAAGCCAGCATGAAGAGGCCAGACCAGACCAGGGGTGTCTAAGAGGGTTGCCAGGCCAATGAACATAGTCGCCAAACATTTGCTAAATCTGGTATTCAGGGCTTAAAGAGAGTCAGCAGGGCAAAGTTCGGTCCCTGACTTGGTTTCCTGGAAGGGGGCGGGACTGTGTGCTGCCCAGGAAGCCAGCAGGAGGGACTAAGGCCCAGGACAGGGCCCCGGAAAGGGACTGTGAATCTCCTGCAGAATGAATGAGCTCACACGCTGCTGCGGGACAGCAGTGTCTTGACCGGTGGTAATGCCACACACTTCCATCCCTGGGTTTTCAACTACTCATTCTCGTCTAGAAAGTCTCAGTTGATCTGAACCTAGAACCACATATCGGGTTGATCTGAACAATCAATTCTTTAAGGTCTTTTGCACACTGAAGCTATTCTCAGTCCATCCAGAAGAGGGCGCAGGAAACACTAGCTTGCCTCCCTCATCACCTCGCCACCTAATAGCTTCAGTGCCAGGATTTTATGAACACTTGCAGGTATCTACACAGAGACACACCTTTTAATTATAATTTTACTCACTTGGCCAGATTAAATGAACCATATTAGTTGGGCTATTTTAACAGTTCATGGCATACAGACATGGCTCAAAATTACATCAACTAGTTGAACAGGTAATGGGCCGACTTGCCACCTTTCTTCTGGGGATACTTTTACTGCTTTAATGCTTTTAAAATTATTGTTTCTATTACTATGCCTCATACCATCTCCGCACTAGGAACGTAAAATCATGCTGCATTTATTTATTTGGTATTTATCAATCACTTACTGTATGTCAGACAGGTGACGGACATTGCAGGTGAGGGACGGGTGAGACTCATACTCTACCTTTATGGAATTTACAGTGTTCTTAAAGTGAGTCCAGTGTAAAAGTCATGTGATAGGAGGACACATAGGGGCTCGGAGAACACAGAGGGCACCATTGCAGCCATGGGGGCGATGGGAGCTTTAAGTGGGGAGGCTGGGTGAGAATAGGTAGTTGCTAAGTAGGTAAGTAGTGCGATCCGGTCGAGGGGTGCGTTTGAGGCCCAAGGAACAGCATATGCAAAGGGCTTGGGGGGAGACCCGCAAGGCAAGCCTGAGGCCTATGCTGGAGCGCAGTGCGGGGCAGCTAGCTGACACAGAAGGCTGGAAAGGCGAGTAGGTGGGAGGTTGGAGAGAACTGCACAGCATGCATGCCAAGGAGTTTGAAGGGGTTTGCAGGTGAGCAATAGGAAGGTCCTGATAACAGACGGATTGCAGTATAGAGAGTGTTCTGGCTGCCATGACTTCAGAGACTGGAGCAGAAAAAATGGAAGCAGTGTGTCATGTCAGAAGGTGGCTGAGGTGATCCCTGGGCAAGCCCACACCAGCCACCTAGAATACAGCAGCAGGGGTTGCTAAGGGGTGAAGGTTTGTGGTGATAACTCTTATTTATTACTCAGTTCAATTAGTTGCTGTTCTCAGAAATGTCTCCTTGAAGAAGAATGATCACCTTGATTTGAGAACCTGTATTTGGATCCAACTTCTCCCCACCTGCTGCTGACCCTGCTGAGCGGATTTAGGGGAATTCACTGTGACAGCAAACTGCTGGAGCCAGCATACGGGGAACTTAAACTTCAATACCAAGGAGGCGTCAATTGAACTCTTGGCTACTTTACTTTGAATTGTACGTTTAACACGCTGGAGATAAATACAGAACTGACCTTTTTGATTCTCTACAGAGACCCTTCCACCCCTCCAAAAAAAATACAGAAGTGATACTTAAGAGATGAGAAAGAACTACAAAATGATCAAACCCAATTGCATGGGAAGAAAAATCCAAGGAACTGTCGGTTCACTGCAGCTTTACAAATGAGACATTTTATTCCCTAAAGCAATATGGTTAGAGCTGTTTTTGGCACTGAAGATCGTCTCTCCATTGTTTACTTTTATTTTTAACTCGAGTCTCCCAGGAAGCAGGGACTGCATCCAATGCCATTATCTCATTTTTGTCCCATGAGATAATCTGACATTTTGGTCCTGTGTGAAGCACTTAATTGTACCTCGGGGTGGGGTGGGGTGGGTAAGTGATCTGAGCATGCTCAGTCCAGAAAGGTACGTGTGACATGAGAGCAAACAGTCATCAGGCTAAGGGAACTGTCAAAGGAGTATGTGATCTGTGTTTCTAAGGAATCCGAGAAGGGAAACTCCCTCATAAATCTATCAAATGGTGCTGAACCAATTATAACATAGGCATGTAGTTCCCAAGTTAATTTACTCTACATCATAACTGAAGCCTATTTTAATACTCTTGTTGAGTTACAAGTATGATGCCTGCTAATGGGTACAATAAAGAAACTTTTTGTACACAAGGGTTATGATTGGTGTATGTTAAGTAACTGTGGTTTTGACAGGTTTTCTAATAGGTATTTACTCTCTGTGCATTACTTCTGTTGTTAATTTCCAAAAATAGCTCAGAGAGGTTCCAGTTAGCATGAGGATACAGAACTTGAGGTATTGTATCTTAGAATCTAGGACCCCATGGCATTACATTGTTACCTTGAGCCACTCAAGGTGGGCTTCTTTACCAGGGCTGTCTCCTCTCCATGAGGTCTCCCTCAACATGAAATCTATAGGTAGCTCCACTTAAAGGAGAGTTTCTCTATTCTGGCTGCACATTAGAATTACCCTGGAGTTCTGGAAAATATATGTGGGTGAGACCCACCCAAGACAAATTCAGTCAGAATCGCCAGGGGCTGGGATTCAGGCCTGCCTAGCTGAAAGCTTCCCCAGGGAATTCTAATTTTCAGACAGACTTGAGGATCACAGAAAAAAGTTAGGGGGAAGATGGTCTTACTTCGGACTATTTTGATGGGTAAAATTAGCATGAGCCACAGCAGTCTTCTGCATTAGAACTTGTATTTTATTTAGAAAGCAGTCCCTGCCCTTGTGGAGGCTGGACCCATAATCACAGAGACTCTGAGGGACCCCTTTACTATGCATGCTAGCTACTATCTTGTAAAACTCATAAAATTCCACTGCCTTTGCTTATTATAATTTTGTTCATAATAAAACCACAAAGAATAATAGTATCAGATGAGAGTAGATTAGTTACATAAAATAGGATTTCCCCCAAGTGGAATATTATACAGGTATTAAAAGCATTTATTCAAATTGCTTATTCACATTCACTTCTTTAACAACTACTTTTAGAGAAGCCCCTGTGTGCCAAATATTGTTCTAGGCTCTAGAAATATAGCAACAAACAAGAAAGTGGCATTAACATTTTGTTTTAAAAAGTTAGTTTAAAAACAGCATGCATATTATAACACTACTTTTGTAACATATATGCATAAAAATATGGAAGATATACATTAAAATGTTAGTTGAGATAGTTATTTCTGTGTGATGGGATTAAGGGCGATTTTAATTTTCTTTCATTTGGGGGGGATTTTTTTCTATGCTGGGCACTTATTATTTACATAATTTAATGTAAATGAAGTACATATTCCACTATGTTGCTCAGATATTTCACAACTCTAATGGGAACATTTTAAGTGACTTGTCATATAACAGGATTTGTCCAGATCCCGTAGGAATGACAGCGTGACTGGGCTTTAAAGTCAGCTAGCAGCTCCAGATGTTCAATGCCTCCCAAGACCTGGCAGTGTGAATCCGGTCACTGACGTTTAAAGTGTACTAAGTAATGGTTACAATAATACTCCCAGGCTTTCTTTTCATCAACTTATTTTTCTGTGCAGGTAGCCTGCGATAGGAAGGGCTCTAGAAAATACTTGTTGACTAAATACCGAGTGAAGGGTGGCAAGCAAGGCTGGTTAACCTGTGCTGACTCACTCACATGCACTATTGAAAGTAGCCACAAGATGGCGATAAAGTTTACAAAGTGAAAGTGGGGAGAGAGGTTTAACTAAAAACTGCAGGTCAGGAGGGGAAGTTGGGTTCCCATGCAAATTGCTATTGATGTGAGTCACTTGCCAGCACAAGTTATGTTCTGCCTGAGGGAGGCTGCCCTGCCTTGCCCCGCACGAAAGAGAATGCAGCTAGCCTCAAGTAAGTAGAAATGGGGGCTCTTGAATCTTCTCTAAAGATAGGGCTGCATTGCTGAACCTGGAGCCGGTGAGACTCCTGACTTTAAAAAGGGTTTTAGCCTTGAGTGAGCCTGTGTGGAGAAGTACAATCTTCGGGAAGGGTGGAAGAGGAGAGAAGATGAAAGCAAACAGTTTCTTTGCCTTTGGTCAGTCTCAGGGCTGGAAAGAGGCTGACAGGTAGTTGGAGGCTCCTGGTGTTAACATCACGCAGGCTGCAGAGGCCCTGGGGCACAGTGGGGCACAAGGAGTGGGAGGCCCAAAGCACAGGTTTAAAAATCCATGAATTTAATGACGACGGGATCACAGGGCCATGTGGCATGTATCTAGAACCTGGAGCCAGTTTATGAGTTATCATGTAGCTCACTAACGTTTAAGCCATTTTGCTCTTGTTCTGGTAGCAATTCCTGTGGAGAATCTGGAGACAGAGGGGCAGCAGAAAACTTCAAAGCAGCAATTTTCTACTGTTGACAAATAAAAGTTTATTGAAGGCTAAGAGCAATGTCTTGCTCCCCTTGCCTCTAATTGTGGATTTCAGTGTCCCAGCCAACATAGCACTTGTGCATCTAATGCAAAGAGCACAGGCTTGGAGTCAGGCAGCTTGTGAGCCTCAGCTTTGCACGTGCTGGTGAGGTGACCCTTTCTGAGCTGCCAGTTTTCTCTCCTGTACAAGGGCTCTTACAGGCAGTGTCAGTGTTCATAAAGTGCCTAGCACAGCCCAGCACATAGTAGGGACTGGAATAATGGGATTTTTCTTCCTTTCCAATCTCGTTTTTAGCCACATTCCTGGCCTAAGAATATTGCCCAGGTAATCTTTATATTGTCAAGACTCTACAATAATAATTCTTTCCCTCCTAAGTCTCTGGAAGCCTCTACCTCCCTTTCTTGCCTTAAGAAATGCCAGCATTACCTCAAACCCTGGCTCAGGTCGGCCTGCCTCTTACCCACCACCCCATCCCTGAACAGCCTTCTGGTGAAACCGAGTCTTTACTGGCATCATTTCATCACTTGCAGGACTTGCCCTGTAGTTAGAGATGGTGGTCTCCATGACTCTCAGCCTCCTAAACCCACTTCATGCATTCTCTGAAGACAGAGATCATGGCCATGTCTTATAGATCCTCATAGCTCTTGTAATAAGTGGAAGGATGGACTTATTACTCATTACTCATTCTGTCCTATCTGCATGGAAAGGAAAATGTGTCTGGAACAGTAACTGCCACTGCTTCGGCTCTGTTTTACTATTAGCTCAGGACACAAAGAAAACGAAACATTTCAAAAGACTGTATTATGTTCACTATATTATTTCCAAACTAGATTCTCTACTTGAAGATTCTGCAACTAAGTCCCCCTGTTCCCCGGCCAAACAGAAAACAAAAAACCTGCATGTAACCATAAATCTAGTGGGTATATTTCACAGTTCCCTCTGATGGACCCAGATGTGGTTCTTTCCTACTCTGATCCAGGTCTAAAGAGCCAGTGTCCAGGCAAAAGAGGTCATGCACATGTAGCCTATTATCTGCACAAGGTGAAGTCCACATTAAATACATCAAATCGTAGATGAGCTGGACTCTGTGCCAGACTTTTCAGTTTTTAACAAAGAGAACAATTTTATCTAATGTGCTCCTTTGCCAGACTACTAATTTTGACAACAAGATTCAAACTGAGTGCATCTGCCTGCCCATGCACATCGTTCGGTCGACTTTTCCAGGGCTTTACTGGGAGGGTTAAGGGTTCATGGTCACTACATGGCTCACATAGTCAATGTGGACTTTTGGCATATTCATTTAATAAGCTAGTAGCTTCCTAGGGAAAGTGTCTCTCACATGTAGACTCTCTATATACTCCTTAGGAGTGATTGGAAAGAGTTAACAGACCCTACATGTATGATCTCATTCAATCCTCCCAATAATTTTTCAATCCTCCCATTTTACAGATAAGGCTTTGAGTTTAAACGACTTGCTTAGCCAACAGGTAGATGGAATGTAAGTCCAGCTGATTTCAGAGTGAACTGTTATTATGTGCAAGACCTCGTAAGACCTAGTAAAACCAGATCCTCTTTGGTTCTTTGTTCCTAGCCAAACCAAGGAAGGGTTGTAGGTGTAGGAAATATGGACTGAAAAATGCTGTCATGGGGGCACAGACACTCCGATAGAAGCCCCAAGCACAAAGGGACTTTGTAGGAAGGGTAGGGAGAACAGGAAGGCTTTTTGACAGTGTAAGTTAGGTCACCAAAAACGGGAGCTATTTGGAGTAGCCGTTGGTCAGGTTTATCCAGCAGAGGGCTCTGGTTTAGACAGCATCCTCAAATTTCAGTTTTTTCTTTCCTCATGATAAAATGCACTCATTTCTCAAACTACGTAATGACAGCATCATTTTTGTGATCAAGCCAAAGCATTAAGGAGGTCTCCTTCATCTGACATTCAACTTACATTGGGGTAACCTGGTGGAAAGTGAGCACTTAAGATCAGGTCAATGCTTGACTGATCACAAGGGACATCGCAGCGCCCCCTTGAGCTCAGCGGCAGGTCTGTGAAGTGGGAGGAGGAGCACTTGGTTTTTCACATCAGTCACCTAAATGCCACATGATGCTGCTGAAACTGCAGGTTTTTTTTTTTTACAGAACTTGATCCCACTTTGGAAATGCTCCTTACTCAAATATGATAAAGGAAGGCTTCTATTGGAGTATTTAAAGTGCAAAAGATTTTTTTAACAATTTGTTTGTAAATGAAGGGGGTTATCTGAAGATCTAAAAAAAGCCATACATGGTTTTATTTCAAGGAATGAAGATAGAAATTCACTTTGTCACTCAAGAAACAGCTATTGAATATCGACTTTGTGCCAGGCGTCATTACTGGTAAGTGGGATTTATCAGTGAGCGAAGTAGTCAAAAATTTCTAGTTTCATCGAACTTACAAAACAGAGGGGAAGATAGATGTCTAACAGTAAATATGACTAGCAAATTATTAAGAAGGTTAAATGGTAATAAAGTGCTATCGAAAAAGAACAAGGAGAACAGATCAGGGGGACCCGAAGCGGTGGGGCCGTTTTCATTATCAAGAACAATGACCACAGTTTTGCCTCCTTGGGAAGGTGAAATTGAAGTAAGTGAGGGAATTAACCAAGCAGATATGGAGGGGAGGCAGTCCAGGCACAGGGAAGAGGAATGCCTGGAGCAAAGGCCCTAAGATGGGAACCCATTTGTTCCCAGGAGAAAGGAGGCCAATGAGGTTGGAACAGAGTGAGTGGGGAGGATGGGAGATGGAAATGGGGGTGTCAGGGCCCAGGTAAGGTGTGACCTTGTAAATGACTGGAGGGGATTGCCTTTTGCTATGAATGAAATGGGAGCCAGACCAGGCACATGAGCTGACTTCAGATTTCAAAGGTTGCCCTACTGAGAACTACAGGGAAGCGAGGCTTAAGCAGGAGGCATGTGGCAGGATTCCAGGTGATCCGAAGGGCCTCAGACCCAGTGGCCGCAGGGAAGGCAGAGAATCCGGTAAGCTGGAGTTTCACAGGTGGAACCACACAGTTGCAACAGCCCATTTACAAGCTCTGCCAGTTTGGGGATAGTTTAAAAATAGGAAAAGAAAAAGAAAAATTGAACCATGGAAGATTTTATCTGAAATCAGATTTCAGATCTATCTTTCAGGTTATCTCATTTATTAAATGAATCAATCTGTGAACACAGAAAGCTTTAAATGCATCAGAATGGCTATGGATAACACTCAAACACTGGCCAAAGGAAGACAGCTTAGCTCATCAGTAGAGTTCTCTTGATGCCATCTGCTCCCAAATGTCACAGATATTGGAGAGAAGTTTGACAGAATCACTTCAGTTCCTTTCCAGGCATCCAAAGGGCAAAGTGTTAGAGTGGTAGAAACTTGGTGTCAGATTAGCATACGTTCCCAAGTATGCTTGCCTGACATTTGTAATTCTCCCAGCACACACTGACTAGTACATGTTTCATCATTGTATGTCTTTGAGATAGATACAGCTGTAAATATAGACACAGTCTCAGCCAGCCTGCAAAATAGGCTTATTGAAGGCCTTCCAATTCAGTAAATATTTGCTTTCCTCTTCCACCCTAGCCCCACCCTGTTGATTTTGATCTCGATGTTGTGACTTGCTTTGGACAATGACATGCCTCATGGAGGCAGAGGCTTTAAGAAGCATTGTATGTTTCCACCAGTTCTCTCAATTTCCCTCTCATTTCAGCACACTCCAGATCCCTTCAGCATGCGTTCTGAAACCAGAAGATGCTGAAACAGAGCCACAGATGATGAGAGAGCCCATGTGTAACATGAGTGAGAAATAAATGTTGCAACCCGCTGTTAGTTTCGGGTTATTTGTTACTGTAGTAAAACGGACTCATACAAAGTCATCCTGAATCAGTGCCTTTTCTAGTTAGCGAAAGGGTTTATTTCTTAGAATGCAAATCTAATGAAAAAAACACACTTTCTTTACCAAAAATATGCCACTCAATTCACAGCCTTGATAAAGAGTTAAAAGGCTAGGGGAAATAAAACTCCCTTTTGGAGAGTTTGGGTTTTTAAGGTTTATGAACAATTATAAAATGTCAACCTAGATAAAATGTATTAAAATTTGGGTTTCTGTTCAAAACTGTTCTATTAAATGACATTCTTCTTGAGATTAGGAATAATGTCGTACCCATCTTTGTATTCCTGGCAGTTAGAACAATGCCTGGCACACACTGGACAACATTTCAAATGTTGGTTGAAAGCACAAGAATAAATAAGCCAACAAAGTGCCCGCATCAGCGCTGGAGAATCGCTGCTTTTGTGCCAGCCCACGGGTAGACTCTGCCGGATGACCAAGGTCGGTGGTGGGGTGGAGAAGGGAGACTATGAGGGCTTAGCTTTGCTGGTGAGTTTTGAGCAAGCCAGGAAGATCTGGGGAAGTGAAGAACTGAAGCATTCGACCCACATTCTACAGTCCTAAGGACTCAGCAGGCAAGGGAGTGAGTTTATTACATTTAATCTCCCCCCCACTGGCTTCAGGCCCCAGGCATTCTAGCATGGAAGCCCCTTCTTCCTGCTGCTGCATATTCAACGAAGGGGAGCTTATCACCTTGAACTGCACGCCGGTCTGAAACCAGCTACTGAACTCTTTGGACCAACTTTTTCGCCTGGTGATCTATATCCCTTTAGCCCTCCCTCTACTGTTTCTTAAAGTGGCAGCTAAAGCATTATGTGCGTCTGCAATCCTTCAGTTTCCACTGGTCTCAGTATCTCAACAGTCCTGGTAGAGACGCAAGCACCAAACTCGCATCATGGCAGCACTTCTCTGCCCTGACGCCTCCCCTTTCTGCGCAAGCACCATCCAGGGCTGGTAACCGGTTTCCGTCTGCGGGTTCTCTGTTTGGGTCTGTGTTGTTTGAGATCTATCCCAGCTACTGGCGCCCTACATTGTCTCTGATATTTGGTCCTAATGAATCACCTCACTTTAAAACTAGAATTTCAATTCAAGTAGGAAGCCTGGCCAGCTGTCTTCTCCGCCTCTCCTTTTCCCCAGCCAAGCAGTGACGGGGAAGCAGCGGATGTAGCATTTGAGAGCCCAAGTTCTGCTGCTCCTCTGGCTGCGTGGCCATGAGGAAGTTACCTAATCTCTCTGCTTCTCTCCTGCTGTTCATCTGTAAAATGGACCTGACACGACTACTCCAAAGAATTGTTTTGAACATTAAATATAAAAATGTATTTCAAGTGGTAGTGCTAAGACGCATTCAGTGAGAATGGTTATAATAATGGAAATTATTGTTGAGACACTTCTCTTTATAGGCATCACTAGCAGTGAGAGTGACCTTTGAACTTGCAAAAATTTTTCTTCATTTTCAGGAATGTGTAAGTCTGTGACATTTGAATATTTTTTAAGTTGCATTTTTAGCAAAAAGACAAAAGTTTTAATGTGAGGATATATGTTCTTGTAGCTTACTTTATCACAATGTAACAGTGAGCCAGTCTTACGGTCACAGTAGAGTCAGAGCCCTTTTTATTTCACTAAGCTTCCTGGGACGGGGTTTTAAGTGGATCGTGTTCCCAGACCCTCTGTGTCCCCATCACCAGATGAAATCCTCCTCTGTCTTCTGTACTGGAAGGGTGCAGATAAAGGACAGTATCTTCTGTAGGGATAAAGCTGCACAAGTGGCTGTGTCATTTTAAGGGACACTTTTCAAGCAAGAATCCTTCTGGTGAAATGAAACGAGTTTTTACTAGAAAATCATTTTTCCAGATAATAGGAATTCTCTGATCAAAAGCATGCAGGCATTTCCCTTTAAATGGGTCAAATGACAATTGCCTATATGAAACACCCAAGTTGGGACATTCTTTAGCATTCTGAGAGCCTGCAAGGGACTTGGACCGATGCTTGCTGGCAATCATCCCACAAAACTTTCTCAAACAGCCTCACATGCATGTGGAAAAGCCACTCTGGAGCCACGTGAAAGCATTTTTTTTTCCCATGGGGCTATCTGGGCCTGACTCCAGCAGAGTGCAGGGAACTCTCTCTGCATTCCATAAGGACTGTGGTAACCTTGCTCCAGTCTGTAGATGTAAGCAAATATCAGTGATACCCTTAGATTCTCACTGTCTCCAGGTCGGTTGAAGGGGGATGATGTTAGAATTACCAGGCACAAAGAGGGCTTTCCCCAAGGAAGGTACTTCTATTCATCCTTCAGGACCCTACTCCTTGGTGACCAGGGCTTAATTATCCAGAAAACTCCAATGAACCCCAATGTCTCCTTTATTTGGCACTCCTATTAGAATATGTTAAGCCAGCCTGTAATTATTTATTTATGATTAGTGTTTCCTTTCCAAAACTGAATTACCAGAGAGGAAGGATTTGTGTGTGTGTGTGTGTATGGTGTAATATGCATAGTGCCTGAAGATTACAGGCATTCAGTGGTGCTGAGTGAATGAATCAATGATGTATTTGTGCTGCACTGAGGTGTAAGAAAGGCCAAAAACTCCACAATCTGCTGCTCTAATTTTCTGGAGTGAATCACTATGCTCATCTCTGTGTGTATATGATCGCTTTAATGAAAGTTGGTGCTAATTTACAAAGGAACAAAAAGAAAGTGGAAACAAAATCCATGAAGATTTACTGAGCATAGCACTGTGCCCGGGATTGGAAGATAAAAATGTCTGGGGTAGGTCCTTGCCCTGAAGTGCTTAGGATCTGCTAAGATAATGTGTGTGTGGGGGGGGGGGGGGGGGGGGGGGCACGTGGGCAGATAAAAACATACATACTATAACCTTACAAGACAGTACCTGATGGGGTCAAAGGCCTGGTATAGTGCAAAGGGAATGATGACTTGCAGGAAGAAAGGAAAAGCAGCAGGAGAAGACATGAAGAAAGATAGAAAGGCAGGGATGTGAACGTCATCAAGATGGCAGGACCCCCAGCCCCAGGGTCCCAGCGTCACAAACCTGTCTCACAGCTGACACCCTTAGGGGACGAGGGGGCAGCAGGACTGGACCATCCCTGGAGGGCATGGAACTCTGAGAACTCAAATCCCTTGGGGTCTGAAGTTTGGGGCATTTCTTTTTTCTCTGTTGTGTGATTTTTGACTTTGTAAAAAGATCTTGTGCTTTTGGTAAAAAGCTTGACATCTTCGTTTTCATGGATCTAAGAACACATGCAGTGAGTTGGCTCTCCCTCAGGCATGGGCTGGGTGGACATCCTCCTGGGGGGCTCCCTCTCTGTAACTCGGACTTGTTACCTGGGAACATGGGGGGACCCTGCCGCTGGCAGCATTGTCCTGCAGCAGTTAGTGAGCCTCCTGCCGGCCCAGCGCCTCCTCCAGGCAGGTGCTTCCCAGGGCCCCCGCACGGGGCTGCTGGGGGCCCACTGATCACCTCTCAGCGGCTACACACAGAGCTGCCCTGGCACGTCGGGAATAATGAAGTCACTTTCAGCACGACTACGCCAGCTCACATTCACTTATAACGTACTTCTGAACCTAGGCAAAAGCCTCACAAGGAAGGGCTGAGATGGAGCCTCGCCATTTTCCAAGGCAGAGAGATGCCGCTCTGGAAGGGTGAGGGGCTCGCTTCTGCGAGGGTGGCAGCCGATGTGGGGACAAGGGTCCTCAGTCTGCTCTTCCCTTTTTTCATTTTGGTGATTTTCATCTTTCCCAAATTATTCTCTCATTTTGCTGTGGGAGTTCTATTTTGTCCCTGAATTGATCTGAAGCAGCTGAAAGCACTTCTTCCCACACAGCACAGCCATCAGTTCATATTTATTTTTATGTCTTATTATATTTCTCTTCATAGGTTTCTGGATATGACCATATGGCAGTGGGACTGGTGTCTGCAGGTCAGCAGGAGTCCTCCTGTGGGCCCGGCAGCCAGGTGCACGGCTCTGCTGTCAGTCCACCGCCCCGTCGGGTACGCAGCCTCCCCTCCTCTTACCGCGGCTCCTTTCCCTGAAGCGCCTTTAGTCTCCCCCTTTCCACTCCTAATCCTCTCCTACCAGGGGCTACTTTCCCTTACATTCTTCTCCCCTTAAATTCGTATCTCATTTTTCAACCCTGTTTCTCACACCAAGATTCCCAGGGGCAGGCAGGTGATGGCACCTGCCTTCCTGTCCCACGCCTTCCCTCACCTGTAGGGGTCCCAGCCCCTGGCCAAGGCCCTGTTCCTGAATTCCAGGCTCTTCAATGTCTCTGCAGCACGTGGCAATGTTGAATTCCTTCCCTCCCTCCCCCATCCTCCCTCCCTCCCCCATCCTCCCTCCTTGCCTCCCTCCCTCCCACACTTCTGTGTCTAGCTTCTTTCTTACCTCTTTGATCTCACTTTCTACTCTCTCCTTCCTGCCTCCTGCAGAATGGGTGCTTCCAAGGGGTTGGATTGTAACCTTCTGATCTTCCCTTCCTCAACCCTCTGCCCACCTCCAGCATTATGGTTTTATTCATTCATTTACTCAAATGTCTTTATATTTATGGGGTTTAACAGTAGGTAGGACCATTTACTAGGAATGTCAAGTCCTGCCATGTCCCAGATCCTTTTCTAGGCCCTGGACCTAGTGGGAACAGGACCAGGGCCCTGTTCTCCAGAGGGAGGCAGACAGTGAACAAGTAAACAGACATATCACAACTGCAGATGGTGGTAGGTGTTAAAAGGTAAGTAAAAGAGGCTGATGGGGACAGAGTGGGGGCACTGCTGCCCTGTCTTAGTGGTCAGGGCAGGCTCCTCTTGGAGGTGACACGTGACCTGATCCTGAGTGACAAGGAAGACATCCGCATCTTTGGCAGAAGCGTATTCAGGGTGTGGAGCTGAGATGTCAGTGATGTCTATACAGATGACTATGAACTCAGGGCCACAGTTCATGACTTCTTTTAAATTGAAGTACAGATGACTCACAATATTTTATTGGTTTCAGGTGGACAACATAGTGATTTGAGAATTATGCACATTATGCAATGCCCACCACGGTAAGTGTATTAAGTCAAGACACAGAAGCAACACAGTTCATGGCTTTGAGGGGCTCTCATTCTCCTTGTGTCCCTCCTAGCTGTTACCACTGCCTTGGCAGGTCCCCCTTGTCTGCAACCAAACTCAGCACTCCCACACAAAGGGGCTCCCTCGTTCCTGACTTGGCCACCTCAGCTGCCAGTGCCAGTTAGGCTGGGAACAGTGGTCACCTAGCACATATCCTTGGCCTCCTTCCTGACACTCAGTGTGGTAGAAGGAGCCCCTAGTGTCCCTTCTGTTCCCTTATCCTCCACACTTCAATGCAGCTCCCTGCAGCCCGGTTGCTACCTGCACTGCTTGTCCTGTGAGCCACAGTGACATGAACACATTTACTGCAGACCTAACTTTGACAGGCACTGCACTGGGCGCTCTACCCCCACCAGCTCATCCTGTCTGCAAGGTGGTGTGAACAGCCCTGTTTTACAGATGGAGAAGCAGGCTTGGTATCCCCCCTAGATCAGAGCCTTCACGTTGCCATTCCTTGTCTTTTCTTTTAAAAATCTAATGAAAAACAACCTATCTTCTAGCCTGACAAACAAGGCCCCAAGCTTCCTTTTGAGCCACAGCTTACCTGTTGCCCCCAACATGAAATCTTTGACCCCGCTAGTCAATAACTCTCTTCTGCCTTTACCCATCCCACTTTCTCACCCTGACCTTCGTGTCCGGGACGCCTTGCCCTTTTCTTTTTGCTTGTTTGAGTCCTGCTTAACCCTTTGCCCCTCTTCTCAATGACGTGTTCTGCATTCACTTAGGCCATGAAGACCCACATCACATATAATTTGGGAATCAATTTTTTTTGGCTCTTGATCGTGCACTAATTCCCTCAAATTAACTGTGACTGTATCTGTTTTCCAGCAGAGCATGGTGGCTTAAAGTGTACACTCTGAAGACAATCTCAGGGTTTGAATCCCAAGTCTGTCCCAGAGTGGTCCCATGATCTCTAGGGTTCCAGTTCCTCATTGATGAACTGTTGATGATAAAAGGATCCATCTCCAGTGTTGCCACAAGGTTTAAATGAGTGAATGCACATAAGCATGTGGTAAGTCTGGTACACAGTGCACATTCAGTAAGTGTTAGACGTTAGCACCCCAGTCTAGCATGGTATTTGGGGGATAAAGAGGCCTCAATGAATATCCTTTCAGTATTGATTCTTTCAAATCAATAAATATGTGCATAACAGTCTTCTCAGTACCATGAGGTCAGAGAAACACCCTTGTAAGAACAGAAGAATTGCTCCAGTGGACCAGATTCATCACTTTTATTTGTGAAGGAAGTGTGGTATTGGAGTGGGTGTTGTGGAGTCTAATTCCCTGGGTTCAAATACTGACACTCTACTTCTGTGTTGCTTGGTTTTATGATCTGAAAAATGGGGATGGAAATATTATCTGCTCCAGAGAGTTCTTGTGAAGATCAAAGAAAGATAATAACAGCAAAATACTTAGCACTCAGTGTTAGCTCTTGATATCATTATGTGTTAGCTCTTGATATCATTATGTATCGTTACTGATCTAGCCCTGTGTAAGTCTCTGACAGGGGCACACAGATCTGAGGGATGGGTCACAGAGAAGATCTGAAGGAATTAGGAGGAAGGAAATAATTAGAGTAGGAGTCCTGAAGCTTCCAGAGGATTCCAGATGATTCTGGAGGAATGCAGAAGGACACCTAGGAGTTCTCAGAGCCTCCCAGCTGCCTGACTCAAGGCTTCCCTAAACGGGGTTACATTTAAATTAGCTGAGCGGCCTTGGACCATGACATTGTTTTCTACTTTCTTTCTCAGTTTCCACACTCAACTAGGCCAAACAGATCCAGGCTGTCCCTCAGAAAGGTTAATGCTCTCTCAGGTCTCTTCACTCTCTCTGCCTGTGTTTCACACTCATAGTTCAAGTTTCTCGCTCAGATGTCTGCCGCCGCCTCCTAAAATCTTTACTGCCTCCAGCCAGGCCTCTGTGATCCACTCTGCATTTGAGTGAAGTTAGCCTGCTTGAAAAACATGACTGCAAGCAAAAACTGCATGAAAATATTGAAACTGAGCCACGGGCTGCATCTCTAGGCTATTAACCACCCCTGCTGCTACACATGTCGTCTCAGTGCTGTTGATACAAGAAGAGGCAGAGGTGAAATTTTAAGTGGATGAAAAATTGATTGCTTGGAGCCATAAATTCCAAATAAGTCCACAGAAAGTGGTGCATCTGAATCTGTTTCCTGCCTCTTCATCCACCTCCTTTCATTTCAGACAACAGCCTCAAAGTATAATATTTAACACAAGGCAAGTAAAAAGGGAGACAAGGTATCTTAATGATGCCGAGCAGCACACAGGTGGCTCTAAATATTTTAGAAGTGATTCCATCCTCAGAGGCCTGCTCTTGAAGCCCCAGGGCCACCACGTTACCACCCTGAACTCCAACGACACCTGTAGATGTTGGCTGATTACTCAGCCCTTGGTGACATACAGCATTGTGTTTCTTTCAAAATATTCCATGTGGAAGTTAGCTGGGCTTCCCTGCAAGATGGCAAATCCCCTCAGGACAGGCACCGGGCACTCAAGAAGTTTCACTCTCTTGTTCTGGCTTTACTGCCCGTTGGTTCTATGACCTTGGAAATAATTTCAATCTCCTCTCTCTCTCTCAGATAGGGGTTGAATTATATGTGTAAGCCCCTGCTGAGCAGCAGAATTCTCTCAAAGTCTCACCCATAAAAAAGTTCATTCATCCATCCATTTGGATCAATAAATCCATAACAACTTATTATTTTCTCAATCCACAGACGTTTCAAATATCTATGATTTTGTGGGGATCATAAAATTTTGATTTAAAAGGGGGTCCTTATATACATGGCAAAATTAGATAAACTCCTGAGATCCTTTCCTGCTCTAATGTTTATTCATCCCTTTATTTAATAAATATTCATGGAAGACTTCCTCCGTAGGCACTCTGGGACCACAGGTGAGAAGTGGGATTTCGACCTCAAGGAGCAACGGACCTAAAGAGACGATTACAATCCAACATGATGTGAGCAGGAAACACGTACTGGGGACTCCCTAAAATTTTACATGAGGGCATCACCTCATGTTTGCCCAATGTCAGACAGGTACTCTGATCATCCCTATTTAACGAAGTAGCAGTTGATGGCTGGACAATGAATGAGCCCCATGGAAGAAAACTCTGTCTGACTCCAAAGCCTGCATTCTTAACATTCAACCAAAATTGCTCTGATGAAGGGGAGCGTGTGGTGTGCTGGAAGAGCGAATGGAGGAAGGAAGGTTTGGAGGGAGACACGGCAAGCATCACAGGGTGCTGACAGCATCCCATGAATGGGGATGTAGGTAGAGAAGCAGGAAGCACATTCCGGGAAGAAGTGAGAGCAAATGCAAAGCCGTGTAGTATGAAAGCCCAGGGGACACCAGGAGCATCTGGGGTTCTGCGTGCTGGAACAGGATGATGGGGTGTGGAGTAAGGCTGAGGAGTAAAGGGCCAGAATGTATGCCTCTCTGCACTCCAGCTCTTCCGTATAGCGGGTGGTCTAGTGTACAGTAGATGCCCTCTCTCCTTGCTTGGTGATTAGGACAGAATGGGGCACATTGTTTTTTTATGCAGTGTTGACCAGTATTTTCATACAGAGGATGCATTATCATGACAACTACTCTACCTTCACCCTAAGTTGACAGCCAGGCCTTTGATGAACAAATGCTGAACTTCAGAAGGAAACAGCCTCATATACCCCAAACGCAGCACATCACAATCATGACAATTGCACAACGGGCGTACATGCAAGTCATTTTAGTGCAGCCCGCTGAAGTGAAGGCTTTTAGTATTCACGCTGATGGCTTGTTGTGAGCCTTGCCTAAGGATGCTGTGAGGGGCATTTTTTTCTTGAAATAATTTTGGAACCAGTGTTTCTGAGTCTGTGTAGAGTCTCTTTAGTCGGACTGCACAGATTCAGGATCTGCAGGCTCAGTCTTGCAGATTAAGTCTTCCCTGAGAAGACAGTGATGTTTTTTCATTCCTAAAAGCAGGGCTTAGCTGAAGCTTAGAGGAACATTTTATTTTTTTTCTACCAGAGCAGAAGTCAAACTCTGACGTTTACTAGACATGTGGCTTTGGAGAAGTCTCTTATCTGTTTCTTATCTCAGTTTCCTTATCTGTACAATGAGAACAATGGTATTAATATGAGTATTGTTACTATTATAAATAATACATCATTGGATCATTATGAAGGTTATAAAATTAATACATGCTTCTTGTAGAAGAGTGCCAGGCTCACCGTGAGCAGCCCTGAATTATGTGTTCCTTGCATTAGGGAGGCTTCACTGAAAGCAGGAGTGAAATCAAGGCTTTGTTCTGCTCACTAAGGCCAGAGCCACGCAGACGGGCCCCATTGCTATTTGGCACAAAGGCACAGGATGGGTTAGCAGCAGTCCTGCTGGAGAGGCACTGAATTTGCCCTCATCTACTCACACGGCTTTGCTCTCTTCATTTTGTGACTATTGAGAAATATTTGTGAAATAGATACACTGAAAAGCTGCATTCGATTGGTTATTGGTTATAAAACATCTCCAATCTTGCCATTCATGTTTTTAACACCCCTAGCTTTATTAGAACATTTGGCCAAGAAACACTTGGGGAAACAGTCTCTCTTGATTATTCTTTGCAGCGTCCCTGGTCCTCCTCTCCATGCACCTACAAGCACACTGATGGCGCCTCACAAGGCTGCTACGGCGTATACAATCACGGGGCATGCTGGGTTCCTCCCATCCCTCTCAGAAAAGCTTGAGACATACTGACGATGCAAGCCAAGCTTACCTAGCAATTTCTCCATTGATGTGAACTAACATTCACTGTGACTGCATGGGAGCCCACACATATCTCCACATTCTCCACAACAGCAATTTCCAAAGAAACAATAGCCCAAACAAACAATAGCACCTGGACAACATGGGGGGTTGGCCTTAGAGGTCAAACTGGACTGGGAAGCTTCTGTTACTCGACTATCAAGAACAACTAATAAATGCCTGATTTTTATTTAGAGGAGCAGCAAATAACATTGATGGAGTCCTTGATTTGGGATCAGAAAGCTGAGCTTGACGTTTGGCTCTGGGTGACCTTGAGCAAATGCACCAAATTCCTCCCTCAGCACTGAAATGGGCCTTAGTGGTCAAGATGCACATACTGAGGTGGAGAGTTTAAGGGTCTTGCCAAACATGACTAAGTTCACAGCGGAGCTGGGACTCCTGCACCT